AATATGATTTATGATACCAAAAAAAAAATTAAATTATAAAAACCAGATATAACCTTATGTAGTTTCTCCCGTCACGATTCTCTGAACGACGTTATCCGAAGGGTTTTTGTCTGTAATTGTTACCGCCACTTCTCAAATTATAATATTCCGCGTTTTTGATCAATCTTATTGACGAATCAGATTCCTCTATAATACCTTTCATTCATTCCATTCATTCCTTCTTGCAACCGACAACCGGGTAGAAGAAGAAGTCTAAGTAAAAACACGCCCACACGCGAAAGCATATTGTGTCACGCTCGCTACTCGCATATCTATTTAATTATCATACGCTAAAATCACGGTCGTGAATTGTATAAAATAAGTGTAAATCGCGCAAGAAAACTAGGAGTGTACCACGCGAGTGTCAACCTCAAGTACGAAGAGAAGCTGACGGCGTTCTCCAGGTACCGGCGTACCTTCAGTTTTATGTGTCGGTTGCAAATTTCAACGAAATCCAATTCCAACTACCTATTACTTATTATAATTTTGTACTTTATACTTTATTATAATTTTGAAGCATGCGTCACCAGTAATTATAAATATTCCCTAGATTTAGATTCTCATGGAATATTTAGAGACAATGGCCGAGACCCAAATATATGACTTTGTTTACCAGTGAGAGTAGAATAACAGTGAATTTACAGCCTATACGTCCCACTGCTGGGTACAGGCTTCGTATCTCTGAGAATTTTAGGGCGAGGAAATGTCCGCCTCGCTGCCTCAACGCAAGTTGATGATATCTTCGAAATATATATATATATTTTTTTTGTTAATGTCCCAGATTTTCAGAAAAAAATTTTGCCCCACATTATTGGTGTTTAATACGTCCGCTATTTAAAGAGTGTGATAAAGTATAATATGTAGACACGTAGGCTGAGTATTTTAAAATATTTTAAGAACGATAACTAAAATAAGTAAAAAAAAAGTTTTACGTGATAAAAACCGTAAAATTAGTTTTATTTAAAGTGTAGTATTAGGAAAGTGTAGTGTAGTAGAAGTATAAGATGTATTCGTGTAAATATAAGAAATCATTACTCGTTATTTCTTATCTAAAACTGTATTCAAATCAAGCGGAGACAATCGAGCTCATTCAATTGGAAAGATTATAGAGAGGTATATACGCTTCATCGACTTAAGGATATTACATTAGGGTGTCTATAATAACATCAACACTGCAGCTATTTGGATTCCGCCTTCAACAAATTTTTATTGCCGGAAATATTATTTTACGAAATATTTTTTTTTATTTCTCAAACACGGGGGTTTTCATTTACTACTGAGCATCTAAAAAAATCAGCATCAAGGATCACCATGTCAAATCGTGTTGGGTGTCAATGTCATTAGTGCTACCAGAGATCGAACTCGGTTTGCTCGAATAATATTTACGTGGTAGAGCCATGCAACTAAGCAACGAAGTTATGAAGAAGGTTGGAGCACGAATGGGTCAACTCGACCGGGGAAGAGCTACGCTCTCATAGAATACCAGCGTAAAATGCTCCTGTGCTGCAGCTGCTCAGTGCTCGTGTGTTTCGTTTGAAACTATAAGTGATGTCGCTTTTTTATGTATAAAAGGTTAATAGCAAATTTATCAAGGATCATTTCTTACCTGCACACTTTTCATGTATCGTGTACGGTTTTTTTTAAAACTGGAAAAAAACGTGTTTCAGGACACTTTCTGAGGCGGGTGTAGGGAGGAAAAGTGACGCTCACCCTTGAGGGGGACGGACAGTGAATGAAATTCTATATAACGTCAATATGACGATAGATAAAAGTACTCCGTTAATTATGCCAATTTTCCATACATTGCCATCTAAAATGCTTGAACTAGGTATCATGTTATGTCGTGCGGCTTAGACACGTGATATACGCAGGTGAAACTGCGGGGCACAGCTAGTTCTTTTCATGAAAGAACTAGCTTGGATAGTGGATGGCGATATTAATTACGTTAAGTCCATTTTCCTTTATGAATGAAAAGATGATTTGGGCTTGAGCTATTTCCAATAAGATACAGCCATTATGCCATTTATTTAAATTGTAAAGTTCGAACTCATGGGACTAATCAAACAAATTAATTATTTTAATGACCTCCTTCCAGTATTGGAATAGAAATCTTGGTGAAAGGGATTTTTGTAGAAACAATAGCAAAACTGATTCCAGATCAGAAAATTGCGTGTTTAAATCACGTTGACATGACCACTTTGGCAGTAGGAGGAAGAAAACGAGGAGATCTCATGCCGGGCTAGGTGTTTGACCTGTAGATCGGCCAATATCTCTGTAGTAGCAGTACGGAGCTTGCTTAATGTAAAATACAGAATCTTTCGTTGCAAAATTTATAGAATAATTTAAGCTTCGCTTCGTTTGCACTTGTGGTGAGACGGTTACTCCGCCCCAGTAGTCGTCAGGAAATAAGAACAATGCCTATTTTTTACTAATTGGTAATAAATAGGCATTGTTCTCCCTAGACGTTTTTATTAAGTCAATATCTTGTTTGTGTGTCGTTCCGGGTGGAATTTAGTAATTGATTTTAAAATAACTTCCCGACGGGCTGGAAACCTTCAGGTTTTGATTTTATTTTTACATTAAGCTCGTAGTACAACGGCCCATAAAATTAAAATTAACCGGAGGTGATCTAACCCAGGTTTCTGACATACTGTAAAGTTTATTTTCATTGCATGGTATTTTAACTATCACGGATTTACACTATTAGTCCAAACATAATTAATACCTTGTGAGATAAAAAATTGAATTATTAATTTTTAATTAATTTGCACTAATTGGCATGTGACCTGGAAAGATTTGCTCACTTGTTGTGACTTTTTTCCTACACATGCAAGACAGGTGAGTTGATGATTTGGTGACTCTTGATTCACTCGCACCGGTTATCTTGCTGTCAACCACCAGTCTGTGGGTTAAGTTTCAGACCCTCGATATCTATCTAGACATACCACGTGTAAGTGACCTTAAACTTTAAAGCAGAAGGTAAAGAGGCAGACTAGTATGAATACATATCATATTGATATAAATTCTTTAAATAAATACTCTCTAAAATGCTATCATAATGATATTCGGATACTTAAATTCCTTTTATCGGAGCATTTATGATTTATAGCTGTAATAAATCAATGAGCTCAGACGTCGAGCAGAATTATTATAAGTAAAGACAAATGTGCTCCGTGAACATGATAGCTTGATTTACAGCCGTAATATAAATGGAAGTAGTAACAAATATATCGATTTTGTTACAAATAAAATTTACTTTCAGTAGGTACTTATATATTTTTGTACCGTGGTACTCAAGGGGAATGTATGAACGAGAGCAGCCCAGGTTCAATGCCCGCCGGCACCAGTGAGATTGTGATTTGCAAATTTAAATGTTGATTGCTTATTTACTATGTACTTCATGGTAAAGAAAACATCTTTTCTGAATAATTATATAATATTTTAAGGACATACAAAATCTGCTAACATGCAAGGAAGCATTGCAGTGGAATAATTCTAAAAAAAGACTCTCAAAATTTGTACAACACGTATGTGATGTATCTATTTACTATACTGGCCTAAAATTACATTATAACAGGTACTGTGTTTCGCGAGAAAGAGAAGAAGTCGCCTAATCAAGTCACTAATAAGGAAATCTCTCAGGGCTTCTGATTTATCTACAATCTTCTTATAATAGATAATCGATAATAATCAGTAAATTAAAAGAGTTTAGTTGAAAGCGGTACCGTGTTTTATGGCTGTCAATAGAGGACGTCTCAATTTCATCCATGGACTTGTGGGGATTAGAAGATGGTGATGGCGATAGTGAGAGTGAAAAAGCGTTGCTTTTTCATGGACATCATTACCTCTACGTATATTGTGCATATATTGGTGGACTATTAGTGGTGGCTGCAGCGTATCTTAACACTTAAAACCTAGAAACCTAACCTATATTATGGTAGTATAGCACGAAGAGAACGGCTCGATCAGGGTACCACGCTCTCACAATACACCAGCGTAAAAAGCTGCAGAAATGCTACTGTGTTTCGTATGATGATTATAGGGAACCGAAGACTCTTTTCACTGAATACTAGACATTCCATCTTAGTCTTCAGGGGTGACAACGCATCTGTATTTTGATTCTCAATTGAAGATAAAAATGTAGATATCTAAAAGCCACAGTATTTACTTACTATACGGTAAAATCTGTGCTTGTTTGTCACTCATAAATGATAAAGATAAATTACATAAGAAAATAATGATAAATGATGTATTAAAGTATTTATGATATTTGTATTTTATATTTAAATTTTAAAGACCCAGTACGAGAAACACAAAAGGTGTTACGTACAGTAGTATAAACACGGCACGGGATTAGATCAAACCAACAGCCCAAATTCTAAAAAGTCACTTTAAAAAAATGTAACACTAGTACTCGAACACGAAAAAGTAAAAACAGATTATTTTCTTGAAACTTTTTTTAATGTGTCTGTGGGACTATAAGACATCGTTCATTTTAGTAGACATTTTGTGAAATTTAAGAACGTAAATCGAACGTCACATTATACAAATAAATTCGTAAATCAGCATTGTTGACAGAACGCGGTGTTATTGTTTAGCTCCGATTCAAAAATTCTTTTTAATGGTTAAATACCCTTCTTGAGCAAATATTCTTACTTAATAGATTTTAGTACAGTGCTAACTATCATTTACAAAATACATTATTGAAAGGAAATACCATATCTTGAAGTAATAATTAACAATTATAAGTGTTAGTGCAAAACTATTGTGTGTATTACCGACGGCATAACTTGTGTGGTGAAACGCGTAAGCGACACGGAATACACGGCGCTTGCGACTTTTTGTTCGCAAACTCCACGCCGAGTAACTAATACGCTCACAGATAAGTGTTTATTATTTATTATTATCTACCTGTAGTTAATCAGTACACCTTCAAAACCAACAACGTTTTTATAAGCAAAATGAGCAATTGCAATGCATGCAAAAAGAATGTAAAAACCACAGAAAGTATAATGTGCACCCAAACAACGTGTAATAAGCTATACCATTATCTGTATGTGGGCTTAAAGGCTGACAACTTTAAAAAAAATGTATCCTGGAAGTGCCCTAGTTGCAAAGCCAAACAACCAAAGGGAAACAATAGCGTCACACCCGTAAGGGTTATGCAGTGTTCGGATGACGAGGATGGAGCAGAAAGCAGGGATGATTACGTAATGACTCGACGTCGTCGTCCGCGTTCTCCGGACTGCTTAAATCCCTTCGACTCAGAGTTTACTAACAAAATGCGCAAAGATATATTGGATATAATTAGGAATGAAGTGCCTAGTATTATTAAAGATCTAATCTGCAAAGAATTCCGAGCTATTAGGGATAACATCAGTGAACTAGAAAAATCAATAAAATATATCGGTGACAAGTACGATGATATAATGAAGTCCATATCCGTAGCATCTGAGGACACCAAGTGCTTAAAAACAGAAAACTCCTCTCTCCGCAGCGATTTTAAGGATATGCAGAAAAAGATCTCGACAATCGAGCACGATTTTGCTAAGCAAGAACAGTGGGTCCGTCAGCAAAACGTGGAAATTGTAGGAGTAACAGAAAAAGCAAGGAATGTCTCATAGACATTCTTACAAAAATAGCAGAAAAGGCTGGCCACAAATTATTAGAAGCTGATGTAGATTTCGCTCACAGAGTTAAACCACAGCGATCATCCAACAACCAACCGCGCACGATCATCGCGCGCTTCAAATCGCGCCTCAATAAAGACACATTTTTGTCTGCAGTGCGAAAAGGAACTTATCGACTAAAGATATATTGGCCACTGGCGACCCCAAAGTCATCTATGTGAACGAGCATCTAACACCACGTAACAAAAAACTCCTCCTTGAAGCAAAAGCAATAGCCAAAGAATCTGCTTATCGTTACGTATGGACAAAAAACTGTCGGATTTACGTACGACGCAACGACAGCTCACCTCCACTGTTAATCTCTTCAGCTTCAGATTTGAAAAAAATTGTGTAGTCTCACTTAGTTTGTTAAAGCAACTACATATATCTTCATCGTTAATTATCTTTTGGTTTGTTAGCTTTTTGTATTTTTGTAAAGTCTTAAAATTAAAACTTTATCTAAACATACACATACACATAAACTACACACACACCTTGTTCATTAAACCATGTCAAAACATATTATACGTATCACTGACACATACACAATTCACTAGTTGCGACTCTAATAAGCACACTTTATATATTATGCTTACTTACAAATATCACATAACAAAACTGTATGTACTACATAAATGTATTAAGTTGACAATTCACATACAATAAAATTAAACCAAATAGTTTGAATCTGCAATACCAAAATGTAAGGGGTCTTAGAACAAAAACACAGGAGTTCTACAGCAACATCTTGAACAATAATAGTGACATAATAATAGTTACAGAATCGTGGTTGCACGACGGTATTCTTGATGCGGAGCTCTCCGACTGTAGGTACAATATCTTTCGCCGGGATCTCGGCGGCAATAGACGTGGTAGCGGCGTTATAGTTCTGACTGCGGAACGGTTTTCTGCAAAGGTTCAACCCGATTGGTCTCATGATAATCTTGAATGTCTCTGGATTACGATAGATGCGAGAGACCTTGGCACTAGTCATAATTTACACATTTGCGCAATTTACCTACCTCCAGACAGCATGTTGCCTCAACGTTTACAAAGTTTCACTGCTTTATTGTCTTGTAAAGTAAATCGATTACGTTGCTCGTACAGGAAGATGTTTTTCATCCCACTCTCACAATTGACGCCGCGGACATCGTGACTCCTCGCATGTCACACAAAGGACATTTTAAATACCTATATTACAAGGCAATTCCTCTAAATGCTTACAGATTATCCGAAAATCTGTAAGCATTTAGAGGAAACAAACTGGCAGGATAGACTTAGTGTAGGGTCACTAGAGGACGCTGTATCGTGTTTCTACAGTCTAATATATGACCTAATTAATAAGTTCGTCCCATGTGTGTTCCAAAGAGCTAAGCAAAAGTATCCTGTTTGGTATAATAAAGCTCTCATCAACATCATAAAGGAAAAAAATAAACTTCACACTTTTTGGCAGCTCCATCATAATCCAATCGACTATGATGTCTTTGCACTTTTGCAAACCTGACCAGAGCAAAAAAATTTGCTAAAGAACTTCATAAGGCCTATATAAAAAAAATCTGAATACAATATTAAATCAAATTCCAAAGCTGTTTGGTCTTACATTAAAAATAGACGTCACAGAAGTTCGGGCTATCCTAAACATATGCAATATGGCAACAACACTCTGCAGTGTGGCCAAGACATAAGCATGGCGTTTGCAGATTTCTTTAGAAAAATGTTCAACGAGCCTGCTTCAACGTACACTAATACCTCAAGAAAATGTCTATCATCTACTAATATCATAAGCGACATTCAGGTAACAGATGAGTTGGTGCACAAACACCTTAAAAGTTTAGACTTGACTAAAGGATCTGGCTCAGACAAAATACCACCAGTTTTTATAGTCAATTGCGCCGCTTCACTCTGTGTGCCCCTGCGAATCTTATTTAATAGATCTTTAAAAGAAGGAAGCCTTTCATTATTATGGAAGCAAGCACATATAGTACCCATACACAAAAAAGGACAGAAAAACAAAATCGAAAACTACAGACGAATTTCAATATTAAATACTTTTAGTAAAGTTTTAGAGAAAATAGTATATAACAACGTATTTCCAATATTAATGCCTTCCATTCCACCCGAACAACACGCCTTCGTTAAAGGTCGTTCGACAACTACCAATCTATCCTTCTTTATGGACGACGTCTTACGTGGGATGGACGGAGGCTTGCAGGTTGACGTGATCTATACGGACTTCGAAAAAGCATTCGACCGAGTGGATCATGTCATGCTGCTTCAAAAACTACAAGCACTCGGGATTTGCGGTGATTTATTAAGATGGTTCCAAGCATATATTTTTAATCGCAGCCAAGCTGTGATCATAGGTAGTTACAGATCTGATTATATAAACGTCCCTTCAGGTGTCCCGCAGGGATCTCTGTTTGGTCCTCTCTTGTATATAGCTTACCTGTATGATATAGGAACATGTTTACAACACGCTAAATTTCTTTTGTATGCAGATGACAAGAAAATATATATGAATATAAACTCAGAAAAGGATTGTCAGCTCCTCCAGGAAGATTTAAACAGGCTAGCTCTTTACTACAAAAATAACCACATAACAGCTAATATCGACAAATGTATATGCAATTGGATAGGTTTCGTACTCTGGTTCTGTACTCGGATAGCCATCGTAGCCCTACTGTACAAGCACTTCAGCACTTCGATATACCGACAGTCAACTTGGCACCACTGAAGGGATTGCAGCACCGCCCAAATTTCGACGGAATCAAAGGCTTTCTCATAGTCGTTTACCCGTAAAATAACACCTATACAATATTTTTACCACATTGACAGCTATCTCATATCAAAAACAAACAGCGTTAAAGACTTGGGAGTGACCTTAGACAGCAAACTAATCTTTTCAGAACACATTACATTAATAACCACGAAAGCCTACAAAAATCTTGGATTCATCATGCGTATCACCAAACCCATTAAAGCACTTTATTTTGCATATGTTCGCAGCGTGTTGGAGTCTCTACTAGTTGGAATCCCCAATATAAAAAATATATCGCAGCCATAGAGGGTATACAGAGTAGATTCCTGCGACACCTCAATTACCGTGGCAGGCGCAAGAGCGAAGACTATCATAGCTCTTGTCTGCATCACAAATTATTAACATTACAAGATCGTAGATGTAAAGCTGACATGATGCTGCTATACGAGGTTTGTACTGGCGCCCACAATTGACCCAGCAGCTTATGAGTTTTCGTACCCCAAAGAGACGTACTAGAGTTACGGAATTATTTTATGTACCATCAACTTACACAAACTATGCAAAGAACTCCGTTTCAAATAGGATACTAAGAACATATAATAAATACTTCTCTAGCATTGACCCTTTTTGCATGACCAAGAGGAAATTCAAAAAAGCTGTCTCTGAGATCTTGGCAGATGGTTTGACTAATAATTTAAATTAATTTGCTTACTAGGTTGAAGTTGCGACACACATACACATACAAATTATTATATCACAAATACACACACACACACACACACACACACACACACACACACACACACAAAAACACCACACACACACACACACACACACACACACACACACACACACACACACACACACACACACACACACACACACACACGCACGCACGCACACACAAAACAAGCGCTTAAAATATTATATTAAATATTTTTTTTATTTCTTATTTATATTTCTGTGTTTGTTTAACTTACTAAATAACTAAATTATTATTATTATTATATAGAAATTGACCTTTTTTGCTATACGCTGTGTACTATTTGTTAACATTGCCGAAGACAAAAAAAATTAAAATTCATGCAAAAAAAATGTAAATCTATAAAGGCTTCTATATAACATAAAATGTTCTCTTGTTTATATATTGTTAAATGTACAAGCTGTAGATTTTGTTACAATAAAAAAAAACTATGATAGGCAGTAAATAAAAGCTTTTAGAAAAATTTACTTCGCAAATATCCGCGTTATAAAATAAAATAATGTGTCTTACCTAGTATGAAGAGCACCTCCCGCCCTCCCTCACCGGTGGCTAACCGCTAAGTCTTTAGCGGTTAGCCACCGTAGAGTCTATATCACCCGAGGATGCCTCGTGTAGAGGCGAAACACGTGTCGTATTATCGTCAGTGGTGTGTCTTGCCTAGTGTAGTGGTGTTGGGAGTAGCGGTGCTGGGATTAGTGGTGACGGGGATAGTGCACGCAATTGAGGGAGGGCGGGAGGTGCTCTTCACACTAGGTAAGACACATCATTTTATTTTATAACGCGGATATTTGCGAAGTAAATTTTTCTAAAAGCTTTTATATAATGAATTTCCGCAAAGTAACGCCTGATTCTATTAATTATGTTAGGCAGTAATTTTTCATTAGAGCTTTCTTGCGAGCCATTTATTATTCCCATCACGTACGTTCAAAGAACAGAAAAAAATCTTATGAAAGTCAAACGAATTTTTTTATTCTTGTCTAATATTTTATTACGTAGTACGACTCACTTCATGTATCAGTCGGCTTGACCGGGGAAGAACTACGCTCAACATTTACCAACAGATGGACTTAGTACTCTTATATTATTCTTGATAATATAAAAGAGTTCAGTCAAAAGGCAGACAAAAAATGCAAAATAATATACACGTGGCCTATATGGCAGCAGTTTCTATCTAGAAATCCATTTGGGTAGATCATCATCATGATTACAGCCCTTCACAAGCCCACTGCTGTACATAGGCCTCCCCCAAAGAATGCCACAAAGCACGGTCCTGAGCCACCTGCATCCATCAACTTCCTGCATGTATTACCAGGTCGTCATTCCACCTAGTAGGGGTTGCCCTACATTTCGCCTACCAGAACGAGGCTGCCATTAGAGAACCGTTCTTCCCCATCAGTTGTTACTTACTAATCCTGTTACTCTGGTTCTACTGCG